AAAAAAAAAAAAAAAAAAACATACATTGCGCGACAGCCCTCTAATTTTTAAACCCCTTTTTTCTCACCACAGCCACATATAAAATGGTGCGTACGCGTAGCTCCATCCACATGTCACTAAAGGGCTCGGCTTGTACACGAACACCCCCTTGTTGTACTCCAACTGCAAATATATATGCAGTCGTTCCTATTTATATAGAAATATAAAAAAAAATTGGAAGGAGACAAAACATAAGGCTGTATTTATTGCATGTAGAAATAATTGTATTATGTGCACGATCATGAAGTGGGGCAGTGCAACCGACATGGGTACTTTTTTTTTTTTTTTTTTTTTTTTTTTTTTTTTCCTTTTTTTTGTTTTTGGGTATTTTTTTTTTTTTTTTTTTTTTTTTTTTTTGCGTACTTTTGAGGTGGGGGAGCGCAAGGGAAAAATAACGCGAGCGGGAAGCAGGGTTTTTATACCTTAAGTGACGGCATCAGTATTCGGAAAGCATTATTTTGCGTGCACGCTTCCGCGTGAACCATAGAACGTTCTATGCAAGATATAAACAGGGGAGGATACGAATGTACATGACAGGTGCAGCATACGACAAATGCGAAGTTGGCGGACGTGCAGCCTAGGCCATAAACATGAGCCCCCAGCAACCGTGCATACGCGTAAACAGTGCATTGACCTCCATGTTTGTGCTGCTCTCTTTGCTGCACAGAAAATGTAGCACCATGGTGCCATGGGGGAAGAAGCAAAAAAAAAAAAAAAAAAAACATACATTGCGCGACAGCCCTCTAATTTTTAAACCCCTTTTTTCTCACCACAGCCACATATAAAATGGTGCGTACGCGTAGCTCCATCCACATGTCACTAAAGGGCTCGGCTTGTACACGAACACCCCCTTGTTGTACTCCAACTGCAAATATATATGCAGTCGTTCCTATTTATATAGAAATATAAAAAAAAATTGGAAGGAGACAAAACATAAGGCTGTATTTATTGCATGTAGAAATAATTGTATTATGTGCACGATCATGAAGTGGGGCAGTGCAACCGACATGGGTACTTTTTTTTTTTTTTTTTCAATTTTTTATAATTAAAAAGGCGTACACTTATTTCCTCTTGGCAGTAACGTTTTTTTTTTTTGTTTTTTTAAAAACATATGTATTCTTTTATTTACATTCTTCATAAAAAATATTTTTTTTTTTCTTTCCTTGTAAGTTTACATTTTTCCACAAATTATCACGCAGACCTACAAAACACGCATTGTATAACAGGAGAAAAAACAAATAACAGAAAAAACTTTTGATTAATCTCTAACATTATTCAACTATATTTTAACATCATTTTTTTTCGCTGAACGCGTTATTTTTACCATATAGAACTATCGTTTTTACGTATTTACTCCCAGTAGAGTTCTTCCCAAAGTTTTATACCTTCTATCTTACACTTAGGAAAAAATGGCCCACGTAATTACCCGTATTTCTGCCCGTGAAATTTTGGGTAAGTATATTTGAGCGATGGAAGCACTGCGTGTTCCTTTTGCTCTTATTGGCATATAGCTGTATGGGATATAACGTTTGAGAACACGCAGGTTCACTTTGACGAAGTGAAGCAGTGGCGGCAGGTGGCACTTGTGTACATTGTTGCTTCTCCTTCCATTATTGTGACTGCAAGTGTTGCACGTGAGGTTATGGTCGCTATTCATTAGTGCGAATGTGTAGAGGGGATCAGTCAGAGGATCGCCTCTCTGGGGAACGCATCGAATAAGAGTAGCCATCCCTTGAGCGCGTTTACACGTGGGAAAATTACCTAAGTGATGTCGGCAAAACAGGGTGGCCAGGGAGTTAGCCATGTAGCCATTTGGCGACTTAATGTGCAACTAATTCACTACATGTTTCGCACCCATTTGTGAATGGACGTTGTATCAGTTTGTCCTGGCGAATGACCTCTACACAGGGGCATAGCGTATAGTAGAGCATGCCTATATAACGTGTTTGTCTCATAGTCCAGTTGTTAAAGAGGAGCAACGTTTAACAGGGCGGAGAAAACTACGCATTGAACACTGTGTAGTTCGCCTAGTATATGCCACCGCTATGCTTTTTTTTTTTTTTTTTCTCACTTCACCACTGTCACTTAACTGCTCCCCCGCGCAGACTCCCGAGGAAACCCAACCGTCGAAGTGGACCTCGAAACGAACGTCGGTATTTTCCGAGCCGCTGTGCCATCAGGAGCATCCACAGGAATATATGAAGCCTTGGAATTGAGGGACAATGACAAGAGCAGGTACCTCGGCAAAGGAGTACAGAAAGCTATTAACAATATTAATGAGCACATAGCACCCAAGTTGATTGGCATGGATTGTAGGGAACAGAAAAAAATTGACAACTTGATGGTCGAACAATTAGATGGAAGCAAAAATGAATGGGGATGGTCCAAAAGTAAATTAGGAGCAAATGCGATTTTAGCAATTTCCATGGCTGTGTGTAGAGCTGGAGCTGCTGCGAATAAGGTATCCCTGTACAAATATTTAGCCCAATTGGCAGGAAAAAAAAATGACCAGATGGTTTTACCTGTACCCTGTTTGAATGTAATAAATGGAGGATCCCATGCAGGAAACAAATTGGCCTTCCAAGAATTTATGATCGTCCCAGTTGGTGCACCAAATTTTAAAGAGGCCTTAAGATACGGAGCAGAAGTATATCATACACTCAAGTCGGAGATTAAAAAGAAGTATGGCATTGATGCAACGAATGTAGGAGACGAAGGAGGATTTGCTCCAAACATATTAAATGCGAATGAAGCTTTGGATCTGTTAGTGAGTGCTATTAAATCTGCTGGTTATGAAGGAAAGGTCAAAATCGCCATGGATGTTGCTGCCTCAGAATTTTACCAAGCTGATACCAAGACTTACGACTTAGACTTTAAAACACCAAACAATGACAAGTCTATGGTCAAAACTGGAGCTGAGTTGGTAAATCTATACATTGATATGGTTAAGAAGTATCCCATTATTTCCATTGAAGATCCATTTGATCAGGACGATTGGGAGAATTATGCTAAGCTGACTGCGTCCATTGGTAAGGACGTACAAATTGTGGGTGATGACTTACTAGTTACTAACCCTACAAGGATTAGCAAAGCTTTGGAGAAGAAAGCATGTAATGCTTTGTTGCTGAAGGTTAATCAAATAGGTTCCATCACTGAAGCTATTGAGGCGTGCTTACTATCGCAGAAGAATGACTGGGGTGTTATGGTTTCCCACAGATCTGGAGAGACAGAAGACGTTTTCATTGCTGATTTGGTGGTTGCTCTCCGAACTGGACAAATCAAAACTGGTGCTCCATGCAGAAGCGAGAGAAATGCCAAGTATAACCAATTGTTAAGGATTGAAGAGTCCCTTGGAAGCAATGCCCTTTTCGCTGGAGAGAAATTTAGGCACCAATTAAATTGAGCGTTGTCCGTATCGGGATGGGCCCCTGTGTAGTGTATGCCTCCCGCACTTGTTGCCCCCACCAGTACGCATTGTGTTAAGAGATAGTGGTGGTCCATTCCAGGTGCTCCCCTCTCCACGATCCCGTTTTGCATGGGGCCGTAGCGCAGAGCGGTAGTCCGAATGGTGTCCGCCGTGCACATGTACACGTGTTCATACATCAGTGTGTCTATGCTAGCGTCCGTATCAGCGCCTACATATATTCATGCCTGCAGTTTTTTCTTCTTTTTTTTGCGCGTCTATATATCGGCTTAGATACACGCACGCGCCCGAGCAACCAAACAGGGCCCCCCGTGCATCCTTCAGTTTTACCAAATTGTATACACGAACTTGTAAAACTTCGGCTTTGAACTATAGACCGATTGGCCGGTTTGGCACTTGCTAGGACGCCCCAACAGGAAGAGGCGTGACACGATGCGGAGTGAGGCCTTCTGTGGTCACAATCCCCGTTTAGGCCCCTCTGCCGACCAGGCTCGGGGTAGTCACAAAGATAAGCGGATCAAGTGTGCGGCAAAAATATGTAGCTCTTCAGGCCGACACTTGAAGAGTGGGATCCGCCTCCACTGCGTAAAGGACACTGCCGCTTGACATTAACAAAATTTTTATGCAATTGTTGGTATTCAAAAAAAAAAAAAAAAAAAAAACGGTCAGTAATTACGTCCGAGGCAGTAATCGCTATCGCCCATTCACCGATTGATCTATCATTACACAAAATTCATTTTGCCACATGTTGAGGAAAGACGAAGTGGTCTTGCCCGTAGACGCGAGGCAAAGCGTATCAAAACGGAAGCATGCAAATGTCCCAGTGTTGTAAAAAAAACAAAAAAAAACAAACAGAACTAGTTCATCCAACATACGTTTTGCAGGTCTTAAAAAGTTCGCGACTGATTTGTGAATAACTTGGTGCCACTTTGCTGCTGCGTGGTGAATTTAGCCACGCGGGAGAGTTCCACGTTAGCACGTGTGTACCTCCCCTGGGACAGTGGGAAAAAAAAACAAACAAAAAAAGGTTTTACAAAAAGAGCGCACGATCGCACGAGCGAGAAGGCTGACCCTTTGCAAAATATTCGTGCATGACTTTTCTTGTTCTCCCCTCCCCATTCCCCCTTTTTCCTTGCGGATATTCATTTTAAAAAAAAAAAAAGGTAACTCCACGTGCACACTCACCT